GCGCTCCCCCTATCAAATGTCTGCTGCGCGGGGAACACGTGCGCAGCGAAGCCGAACCCGCTTCCCACCGGCAACGTTTGTGCACTGCCCACGCCATACCCACCACCGGTTTGGGTGGCATACGGTTTATGTCCCATGTGACCACCTCCAAGAGGCATATTGGCCATTGGTGGCCGAACATGGGAGCGGGCACGTTGCCCCGATGCGTCTGGATGAGACTGCGAAGAGGGGAGGGGGGCTGCCGGGGCACGAATCGGTGCACCTCGCCCCCCGTCGTACAGCTGTCCGGTGAAGGACTGCAACCTCGGCGATGATGGACATGAGTACTGACTGTCTGCCACTGGCCGCCCGTCCCCCGTCGGGAAACCCCCCTCAATGCCTTCCTGGTTCTCCGCCCTCCACCGAACGGGATCCATTTCCCCCTCTATGCCTTCCTGGTTCTCCGCCCTCCACCGGCTCGGATCCATCCCCCCCTCAAAGAGTCGCTGGTTCTCCGCCCTCCACCGACTCGGATCCATTCCCCCCCCCTCCCCCCACCCCCAGCCCCTCTCGCAAAGGCCACGAACGTTGACGCTCACCACCGCAAGTGCATCACCTACATGCACCACTACAGGTGCACCACTACAGTCCCGGTAGCGGCCAGAAGAAGACGACGAAGAGAAGGACACAGAACACGAAAATGGACAACAACAAGGCGGTGAAGACGATGACGATGACAAAAAACCAGCAGCCTATTGCAGCCCAAAACTGCTGCGTTCGTCCGCCAACACTACTTGATTCGTGGATGACGACAACCGGAGGGGGGCAACAACGATGATGGCACGACGGACAGGAAGGACAACCACCCGAAGAAGGACCAACGTCCGCGTGGACTATATGCAGATGTGGAGATTGGAGCACGCAACCGCGTGCAGCCAAGTCCAAGGGACTTCTGCGAAGATCCGTATCACACGTTTGGCCACGCGGAATCGGATGAGGACGAGGAAAAGCTGATGAAGACAATGCCGGCATACGTGGAACCACAACTCCCGTCGCTGCCCGTGCGGGCTGAAACAACAGTCGATGCAGGATGCTCACACCACAGCTGATTGTCGAAACGGCTGCTCCCGAACGGCTCCCTCCCCAGAAAACCGTCGCTGCGCCGGCCGCCCCTTCCGTATGCAACCATTGCCCATACCCTGCCCGATGACACTGCCACAAACCATGTTGCCGACCAAAGACCCCGCGCCCTGCGCCTATAATGCTCCTCAGCGATGGCATTGCACTCCTAATGCAGCTTTGCATCCCACTACTGGGCATGAGGACAGTGCTTGGGGCTAACGGGATCCGCACGTGCGCTCATATGCTGCCAGCGTTTGGCTGGATTACCCATGCATGGCTGGCCGTCGTCCCCGGTCCCCTGTGTTTTTTTTTAATTTGAAATTCGTTGCCGTTTCGGAAACCTGGGCTCGCGCAGGCCAGCCACACAATGGCTCACACGGGAACCGTGCGACAGGGCAGTGCATGTTCGAGGGGACTTGCCCGCCCATAAAACGGTCCGCCGTGACGTCAGCTGGACCACGGTCGCTCGACATCTTTTTTCCACGAGAGAACATCCCCCCCCCCCCTACTCGGTTGGAAGGCATTTCTGGAAAGGTCCTGGAAGGCCGCGCGCTTCGGTTTCCAGGCCGCCAACCGAGTAGAAACGCTTCTGACACCTTTCCCGCAACGTCTTTCCACGTTCTGTGGGGTCTGAAAACCTTTCCAATTCTGGGTTTCCATCCTATTTTCCAGATCGGTGGAGTTCCAAAAACACTGTCTTGGAAAGATATTTCCAGGAAGCCGAGCAATGGGGTCCACCCCTAATGCAGAAAGTATGCTGTGTCATGCTGTGTCCTGCCGCTTGCCAGAAAAAAACGAAAAGTGACAGGGCCATAGTCATGGGTTGGGTAGGACTTCCTCCAAGGACAATGGGTGGGGGGGGAAGGGGTCTGCAAAATCCTGAGCGGGGCGTAGCGGGTCGCCAGGGTCTATCTTGGTCCAGTCGCGAAAAATCAGCTGGTAACCTTTTGCCGTCTCAGTCCAGGGTTCTTCTTGTGACTCTCTTTCAGACTGACGGTCCCCGGCCCACCTGACCTCTGCCACCCCTCCCTCCCTTTCCCCTCCCAACCAGTCCCTGCTGAAACGGGAGATAGTTCGGTTAATATCACCCCAGGTATGCATTTGGTCAATTTTATCTTTGGCTGCCTTCCACTGGGCCGTGATTTCGTGTTGGACTAGCATTCGTATTTGCTCCGTAACTTCTCCCTCATCCACCTGTGCCCCTTCTATCTCGAAGATACATCTTCTCCACCAGATGGCCCATAGGACAGCGCGTCTACCTAGGTGGAACATATTTTCCCGAAATGTGTTTCCCCGGATTTGGGGGTAGTATCCCAGGAGTATGGCCCTCCAATCCCAAGGCCATACACTATCTGGAACAATGTGCCGCCAAATCCTGTCCCAACTTCTCCATAGTAGTACCGTCGCAGGACATTGGAGAAAAATGTGTTCTATGGTCTCCGCGCGGTTTCTCCCATGGTAACACTGGAGGCATTTTTATGGCACCAAGGTAATGCCCTTCCTTGTTGTTCCAAGGGTGTATGCTCTATTAGCCAGTCGTTAGTTGGCAGTCGGGAGCGGGGGTAGGAAGCTCTCCGTCCCTGCTACTGTCACCGGAAGCTCCTGATATCGGATGATCCGATGAAAGCAATGGAAGCGGGTGCCGCTATGGGGAAGAGACGCAAGATAGTCAGGTTAAAGAGTTGGGAAGGTGCGGGGAAGGACCGTGCGGAACCGATCAAGGTCTTCACACGCGGGGATCGTTCCCGTAATTGTGCAATAGACCTCGATCATATTGTGTCCTCGCCAGGCGGGGCTGAAAAGAAGGACATTGAGGCAAAAGGAGGGGACGGCGCATTCGGTGGTGGAATGTGGATAAACTATGATAGCGAGGCAAGTGGCGTAGAAGTGACGGAAGGTGGAAGGCGGGAAAGGGTTGCAAGGGAAGGAGATCGGGGCGGTGATTTGGCGAAGGGTCAGGTAATCAAGGGGACGACGGGATAACAACCGGGGACGAAGCCCGATGCCCCGCATCGGTACGAGTTCGAACTGAGGGACGGGGGGATGGGGAGGGGGATCGGCTTCGTCACCTCCGCGTCGGCACGCTTGAGGTCTCCGGAGGAGGGAGCTCATCCTCGATTGCAGGCGGCTAGGGATCTCTGGTCGGATCGTCTGAGATTGGCAAATTAGTGCCGCTAGAATGCTCCAGCGGCATCTTTCCTGCTGCTATCTCTTCCCTCCTTCGTGTGGCTGTTGCAGGATCCTCTTCCCGGACTTCCGCCCGGTCCGCCTGTCCTCCCAAACTTTCCCACTCAGGCTCCTCTTCTTCCTCTTCTTCTTCTTCTTCTTCTTCTTCTTCTTCTTCTTCACTCTCCGCCCCTGGCTCTTCCTCGTTGTACTCACTGCAGCTTCCTTCTTCCTCAGACTCTCAGAGGTTTCTTCCTCGCTTTCCTATTCTACCTTCGCTTCCTCCTCCACCGCTTCCTCCTCCACCGCTGTTCGAGGCTGAAAGAAGAGGACGTCGATGATCCCCCGGAGGTTTAGATACTCCGCGAGCAATGGGTAGCTACCACCTCCCGTTCGATCCTCCAAGCAGGCCGACCACTGCAAATACGGCGTTAATCTCCGCGAAAGAACGTGCGGTACCGGACTTTCGTCGCAATGTGACACGATGTCGAGGGGAAGGTCATCCAACAGCTGCGCAAAGGGGACCGGGAGCTCCCACACGATCGTTTCCCGATGGCCTGGCTCCACCGCTCCGAAGACAAACCCCATAAGCTCTCCCTCCACCTCCGTCCTCCAAACCTGGATGATCATCAGTTCTACACCCTCTCTCCCAACGCGGTGTTCACTATCCCGAGTCCACGTCAGATTCACCTCCACTAGGCACAGCGAGAGAGCAGAGTAATCCTCACACCAAATTTCCCACTGCGACGGCTTGACGAGTGGCACAGAAAGCGGCCGTATGCAGAAGGAGAGGCGGGGATGGATGGCTGACTGCCAGAAGGTGGGAAAGGCAGAGGGGAGACTAAAGGTGGAGAAGTGAGAGCGGTTCATTGGGGGCGCGAGAAGGGGACAAGCGCAGGGAGGACAACTTCCGGCCCGTGCGGGCGGGTGCGGATGCTGCCGACGTCAACACTATCAGTATTGACGACGTTTTCCCCGCGCCGCACAAGCAATCAGCTCCACGCCCTCGCCAACTCTTCTCCCCACTCCCTTAGTGACACCAGGATGGCCGTATGCTCCGTGGAGTCCGTCGCGTTGATGTTCCCGCTGAAGAAGACCACCGTCGACACGTGGCAGGTTCCCGGTGCTGAAAGTCGCCGATAGGCCGATGCTTCGGCCAGCACCTGCGCCCTGCTGTTGGRGACCAYAAAGCGGAATTCCGYCGCCGCCTATATACATGCAGTGCTGAAGAACTGCGTGAATCGAAGAACGTCGAGACTGATTCGTGGATGATGCACATGCCTGATTAACGAGATATTGCCCCGTGGCGCCAKCATATGCCTGCTGAGAACTTGCTCAGTAGGAAAACTCATGGCGATGATGGCGGGGACGGAGTGTCAAGAAGAGAGAGGGACATAGAAGGAGAGGCTAGGCAGTCGTCGTCTTCCTTGGTATCGTAGGAGGAAGCAGGCGAAGGTGGAGATGGAGAGGAAGGGAGAGGAAGCAGGTAAGACACGTGGCGGAYAATCGGTCGAGCCGATCGGCTGCCCGAGACCTCCGGCACGAGCCGCACGGTGTTCACTCTGTTCGGGCCGAGCTCGATCATACGGAATAGCCCRAAGAATCGTGGCGCTATCTTCCCTTCACGAGCACATTTCCTTACCTGCACCTTGTCCCCTAATTTGTACTGGGGCCGTGGACCTGCATTCCCATTCCAGGCCTCATAACTGCGGACCTGTCGTYCGTGGGTCAACTCAGTCATCCGCTGCCGTTTTCGAGTCAGCCTGGGGAGGGACCGTTCCATCAGTTCCAAGTGTCGCTTGGCCTTGTCCCGAGCCGGGGCTCTCATAGGCCGTCGGCTCAACGTAGATTCGTCGGGGAGGCTCGGTATCGACACACAGGCTACGCTATTGGTTCGTAATTGGAAGGGGGTTAGACCCGTCGATTCGTGAGGCGTTTGTCGATGGACCGCTAAGATGTGGTCTACGATATCGGGCCAGGGCCTCGGATCCTGTGCCGCTATGTTTCGCCGCAATGTCGTCTTAATCACCCTATTCCCGTTCTCTACCAGCCCGTTAGACTGTGACATGTGGGGTGCAGTGTTCCGGATGGCGACGCCGTGTATGACCAGATTCCTCAAAACTTCCTCTCTAAATTCCGCTCCGTTGTCAGTCAGGATTTCCTCTGTATCCTGGTGCATCCTGAGAAAACGGTTAACGTATCGCGCAATTTCAGCGGCCTGTCGCGTACGACACGGATACGCCTCGATCCATTTCGAAAAGTGATCTACTAAT